ATAGATAGACAAATACATGAAATTTACATATAAATACATGAACTTTTTTCATTAAATATATTAATTATTAAATCAAATAGTATAATCAATTAAAAATAATGGTTAATAACTTGGTCAGGATCCACGAGAACCAATCAGAAAGCACTATGGGTAAGACTACTGCCCTCTAGCGGTCGTTGCTGAACTAAAAAGAATGCACTAGAAACTTCTATCATGTTGCAATCACGTGGCGGATTTTCGTTAATAGATAAGCGCGGACATGAAACCGGATTACAACACAAACAGGATGAAACATGTGGCTGACGTAGCAAGATAATCCGAGGTGATAAAGCGTGATGACGTCAGGAACAGGATGCAACACGCCCGGGGTTGGTGACGTCATGACAGTCCCAGCGCCACACAGTCCCAGCGCCACAGCGCCACATGGCTCCAAAGTGACATATTCTATCTACTCATAAGCTTAGAAATGCATAATAAAGAAAACACTATAACATGAATAACAGGGAAATTTAAATCTATGTTAGCTTATTACAATTTGTTTAGATCACATTAAGTTAATGCGATACTAAAGCTACAGCATCGCATTGATTGAAATTACACCGGTTATAAATGTATCTAAGGCTAAAATCAGAATTCACAAGATACAGCGAGTTCAAGGATGTGTAAGTACAAATCTATTAAAGATACATAGTTTTGATAATCTGCATGTTTTACCCCGATGCATACAAGGGTGTCCATCAAGGCAATCTTTTTAAGAGAAATTGCTTTGTATCCCTATTACGCATGAAGAAAAACATGAAAACTCCCATGGAGCCAGCCCATTCTCCAGGATATGAACCTGGGTTAACCTACCAGTGTTAGCAAGTTAAATACTGGGCAACGGTGGGCAGTGGTTAAATGTTACCCATACTTACAAATACAGTATATGTAATAAAAATACCATATGTATTTTTATTACATACGATTATTTTTATTACATACGATTATGTATAATAAATGAGAAAATATCTGATACATTTCCTTCAGTACTCTTATGTGCAAGCATGTTATGTTATACATTGCTTGTATAGTGCAAATAGAATTAATATATAGCATTACTATATATGTACAAATAGCAAATTATTATACTAATGCAATTTGTAATATTATAAATACCATTATTATATGTACAGAAACTTTACACTTGAGTTTGAATATATTAAATGCAAGTGATGCAATGTACATAAATGCACTGAGTGAATTAAATATATGCCATCAAATAAATAATTCCCATATTAATTGTGAAGGCAGTCAACGTCAAAACGTTAGAATGGCTGCACAGCTCTTATCACACAATGCAGCAAAGGCCTTGCTTCATTTACAACCTGGCACAGATAAAGAACTGTGTAAAAATACAGTATATCTCATTCAGCTTGTTAATGACTGGTTTGAAATGATGAATGTATACCACCCAGCTAAATGTATACCACCCAGCTACGGGCATGACATCTCCATCATTTAAATCAGACTATAGACTGGATTTGAAAACTCAAAATAAGTTATTAAATGAATTTTATGACATAATTAAAAACATGAGATGCATTAGTAAGGCTAGATTACAAATATTTCAGAAAGGTATTCTAATTTCAATAAGTGCACTTATTGTGTGTCTTTTAGCAAATGTAAAAAGTGTCTTTTAGCAAATGTAAAAAGTGTCTTTTAGCAAATGTAAAAGAATTTGGTATGGCATACATTTTAACATCAAAGCTGAATCAGGATGCACTGGAAATTTATTTTCGCAAATTAGCAGTGCTTAAATTGCGCCGGAGCCCGGCTCCGGTACTTCTCAATTTTTAAGATAAATTACAATTTTAGCCGGAGCACACCGGAGCTCTAAATAAGATGAGCTCCGGTACTTCTTTTCATAAATATGAACCACAATTTAAAGGGAAAAAAATTAGAATTCCTAACCTTTTAGTTTAATCATAAGCAGACCTTGCAATACTCTATTTCCCTAGAAATACGAACTCATGAGAACATGAGACGTTCAAGTAAAGTCCCTTCACTCGCATTTAAGAAGGGCAATAAATTTGGGGAAGTTTATTTAGGAACGCGTAAATTTCTTACCATGCCATCGCATCTAGTGTATTGTTATCAATGCTTACAGTTAGTTATTTTTGTGTTCTTAAATGTGCGTTAAGAAACAGCAAGTACAATAAGAGTGAAATACTGAGATAAACAGCTCTAGCACGTCCTATACGTCGTCTTCCCGCAGTATCCACTAATAGGGGTGGGGAAAGCGTAACCAGCAACTTTCATTCATCCTGAGGAGTCAGATTCAGGACTCATTTTACCCCTGACACATATCTGCTTGATGGCTATAATTATATCAGCAGAGAGCCGCGGTCAAAGAAAATGTTCTCTCTCACCAAGATTGCCCTCATTTTTTGTTTCTACCCACTAATACCCTCATTCTGTTTCGCCCTGGAATTTTCATCAGCTATATTTTAAGTATATTTAATTTTTGTGATGATAAAAGAACTTCCGCCCCCCCTCTACGATCAGAGCTTAAATTGGGCCCACCAGATCTCGGCTCCTGTGCTTCTTAGTTTTTGTAATAAATCATAATTCTAGCCGGAACGCACCGAAGCCCTGAATAAGAAGTAGAAATTTTATCTCGAAAATTTCATTTTAACAATAAAATAATATTAAAAATCGCTTATTAAATTTCAATTTATCTCTTTACGTTTTATTTAATTACTTCAATATTTAATTATTTCAATAAATAATATTTAATTATATAATAATTATCAATTAAATATAATTAATTATATAATACTTATCAATTAAATAATAATTAATTATATAATAATTATTGATTAAACAACAATTTATAAACATTAATTAAATGGCTATTAATTAATTTGATAATAATTAACAATTTAATTTTAAAATTATTAATGCGTTTATTAGTCATTTTATTTATTTATTTACTCTTGTTCCTCTTTGCTGACAGTCTTCCATAGGGCTCCGACTTCTAATCTTAGAAATTAAGCCCTGCAAATTAGAAGTCATGGAGAGCTTAATGACCATCCGTCTCCTCTTAACGCTTTATATCGACTTCGAACGATTATTTTGGGAAAGAATACTGGTCTTGTGCATGTAAATACAAACACTGAAGACACAAATCAGGAAGAATTTATTTTAGGATCTGCATTTACATCAGCAAACATTGAAACTGAGGATGAAGGAGCAGAAGAATTACTATAGACAAATTAAATAGCATATCAGATTTTCATGAATCTAGTGAAACAGATACTGCAAGTGAAATATTATCATCTCCAACAAATGAATCATCACCAGTGGCTGAAACATCTGAAGCTGCTTTAATGTATCTAGCTGGATGAATTGCTAGAAAATTTAAAATCAAGTATCCTGATCTTGGGCAGATAACTGGCAGTCAAGTAACAGATCATGACTGTGCACCACCACCTTGGATTATTCATTTGTCCTATGATGGCTTGACTATGCCATCACAAAATTTTAATTATAAAATTTTGCGCTTAGAAATGCTGTTAAAGAAATTGTGGAATGATGAAATTCCTAAAGTTATACAGGGCACACTAAGAAAATTAGTTGCGAAAATGGAAGGAGAAGATTTAGGAAGAAATGTAATTGAAGCCTTTGTAAAGCAGAGAATGAGAGAATGTGCATTAGAATGAAATATAAAAATATAAATGAAAAAAATTTAAATTGAAGCAAAAATTTAAGAAATTATTAAAATTTAGGAAATGTATGATTTAAGAATATAGAAAAGTTTAAAAATCAAATATGCCAAAATTCTTGTAAAATATAAAATCTCATTTTCTATCTGTACTTTGTAATGATTTGTATTATGAATGAATAATGTAACTTAAGCAAATATTTTATTTATTATAGTTTTAAAATATGCATTCCTTGACTATACAGTGCATCATGATATATTTCATATTTCATTTATAAAATTAAGATCCATATTTACTAAGATTTTGTTGAATGTAGTGTTTAAAATTTAGTACCAATTTTGACTTTTGCATTTAATTATATAAATTTACCAGCAAAATGTGCAAAATATATTTTGTTGGTATCTACAAATGTAATCATTATGTCTGTGGTGATATTGTATACAGGTTCATCATACTAAATAAACATCCACCCTTTTTCCATGTGTTCACAGAAAGTACAATGACAGTCAAATGATGTTAATATAAATTGCATAATGTTTTAATGAGTGCATTTATCTGTGTATGAATAATATTTGTCCCCAACTAAACTGATAAACTCTAATTTTTTTATTAAATAGAATGGATAAACTGAATATGTTAAATGAAATGTAATATTTAAGTTATTATATAAAAAAAAATTTTTTTATACCAAAACAAACACATACAGCATTCAGTCCTATTAATATCTAGGATTTACTTCCCTGAAATAAAAAATGAGGATGACAATCCAGAAAATGACTACATGCTTCATTTCGTTATTATTTTTATACATTAAATAATACATAAGTGAAATAAATATAGAAACCTAAAAGATAAAATTTTAAATATACAATATTAATAACAAAAAATAATAGAGAATATGCAAATATTCTTTTAATATCTTTTACTTATTTTTTTCATATAAAAAGTTAATTTGAATACTTTCGGAAAATTTTATTTTTTATGCTTGCTAAAAAAGTAAAATTCAAAGGATTAAATGTAGTCTCAATATATATATGTTTATATAGAACTACATAATGCAGCTGCTCAATTTAAAGAGTATGCTGATTAAGTATTACACTTCCTTTCAGTTATAACTTGAATAGTTCATTTGTCCATGTTTCTTGTTGCTTCTTTACATCAAGAAATTACAAACGCATTTTAGAATCTAGCGACTTATAATTTTATGCAATTTCTTTTTTATTTATTAAAATTAATCATGTATTACAGAAAAAGCTCATGCGAGTTCATCTGAAAAAAAAGCCACAAATAAAGGCCCGTCTACACGTACCGATTTTATCGGCCGACTTTCTCGCAGAGGAACAATTTTCAGGATGTGCGCATGCGCTAAAAATCTGTCATGTTCTCTGCGACGATTTCAGAGCTAGTGTTCACCGCTCACTAGCCGACGATAAAATCGGCGACTCTAGCCAATTAGATTGCTTCCAGAGATCACGTGCTTTTCTCTCTCATTTTGGAAACATGGCGCTTTTTCGTTGGAGCGAAAATCAAATTTTTCAATTGATTGATTTTTATAGAGACCATGCTGTGTTGTGGGACACAAATAACATAAATTATAAAAATAAAAAGTTAAAGGATTCCCTTATTTTGGTAAGTTATCTTCCCGTTACTTTATCATCAAATATTTTTTTATTCGTGATGAAAATTATTTATGTTTGTTAAACAAATTACAGCTCAATTTAATACAATATTGCTCAATTTTATTAGCTGATTAACTGATATAGCAATATGATTACAGTTTTCAGAACTGTATTAGTTATTAAACTATACCGATAGTATTTTTAATATTCAGTATGATATGCTATTTTAAGATTTTGCATATTTATATTTCTTATTTGAAATTTTTGTATTGAAATTACACTATTCCTTTCTACTATAGTAATCTTTATTCTGTATTAGTACTTTTTACTCATATTGTTGCGGTTTTCATAACATTATTGTCTATTTATTTAATAGTAAAGGTTATCATTTAAAGCACAGTAGTTATTTACTTTTTCTGAAGCATGGTTATTTTAACATTTCAGGACTTAAGCACACAAATATGCGTTCCAGAAAATGAAATTTAAAAAAAATGGAGTAACCTGCGTACTCAATTTACAAAGGAGAAACATAAAGAGAAAAAAAATTATACATCTGGTGCAAGCACTGCCATGCAGTACAAATCGGCATGGCAGTTTTACACATCGTTACAATTTTTAAGTGATGTCGTGTCCTTAAGGAATACTGTGACTTCTTTGGTAAGTGATTACTTTTTAAATTTATATAATTTGGCTTATAAAGTAAATAATTTCCCTTTACTATTTGAAAATTTATAGAATTGTTTTTAATATAGGCAAAACTTTAACAGTTTTTGTGATAAATAAAATAATATTGTTATACATACTTAGCTGTGTAAATTATATTAGCCAAATCTTCAAGCTCATGCAGCAGATGGGTCATCTGCAAAAGTTCACACTCACAGCAATTTCTATATATATAACTTCAGTACAAAAGTATTATTTTATTTATCCTTTTACAACTATGTGTGCTATTTAATTTCTTAAATGAAATCTTTATATTTAAAGACTATTCTTAAGCTCATTTACTTAAAAATAATCCCATTTCCCATTAAAGTATAGGTGCAATACCCATTAAAGTATAGGTAAAAGTGGATAGGACCAGGGCTTAATTTCTAAAATCAGAAGTGTCAGAGTTAGTAGAAGTTATATTTTGAATTTATATGAAGACCTAATCTTTTTTCCAATGAATGATATTCTATTGATAATTTCCAAAATAGCTGAGCAGTAAAACTGCTAAATAACTGGTAATTTGACCAGTGTTCGAATGCCACAAATAAGCTGACTGTAAGGTTGGTTTTTGTTTTTTCCTATGCAGAACATGGATACGAGCCATTTTTCCCTAAAAATTCTTCTATGAAGCATCCCTCTGTATAGGCAGATAGTCCTTGAATTGCGTTGTCTTAATCAATTAGTCTAACATCCAGAAAAGCATATGTAATTTATTTTGAAATGAGAGTTAAGGTACTTAAATTTCTCTTCGTAAGTCTATTTTGGTACTCATGTATTAACACAACCACCTTGTCACATATTTGGTGGTCTTCATAAATGTAAAGGTAAAAATTACTTACTGGTACAAGTTAGTGGTTTTTATAACTTTTTTTTAAAAAAACCATTCCCAAATATCTGATAGTGAGTCAGCAAAGTATTATCGACCTACCGAAAAAAGCCGAAAAATCTAAACATGAATTTTAATTATTAAGTAAAAATTATATGATACATTAAAAAATAGGTTCTTACATGTTATCACAAGCACTTTACTACAAGCTCTTTTAAATTTCCAGAATGTGCTAAAATCTGTCGACCATGAGCATAACAATACTTTAGGCAACCATGCTCATAAACATTCCTTCAGTCAAGCAACATTACCCTCATTCTTTTTCATTTATAAAAATTTGCCAAACTTGAGGTGATTACGCTAATATGTTAAGTACTAAAAAATAAAACACTTATGAATTTGCAAAATACTTCTCTAACTTTTAGCGTTATTCTTTCTCCATGTACACAGTGATCTGTTTTCACTTAAAAAAACCAATAAATTGCATAAACTTGTACTGCACATCAACTGTTTACCAAACACATCTCATCGCTGTTTGCGTTAACGGTTTTGTGACAAAATACTATATTCTGCAGAATTTTTACTGCAGTTTCTTCCATTGCTAGCAGATTCCACAAGTGATATTTTAAAAGTAAGTTAAAGGTTCCCAACTCCCAAAAAAAAAATTACGATATCTGTCAAAATCATTAGAATTCCAAATACAACAAAAATAAACAATTGAAACATTGCTTGACTGAAGGATTTTTATGAACAAGGTTGCCTGTGAAATTTTTATGTGCAGAGTATGGCAATTTTTATTAAGGTGGTTGAGATAATATGTGACTACCTCTAATTTTAAAATATTAATAGAGAAACATGAATTATTATTGCATTTTAAGTAATTATTACTATCAAAATCTTACTCATATTGTTCAAGTTTTTTACAAGTAAATGAAGTCCAACTCCGCTTCACATTGAAAAGTTATAAAAATATGGGATGTACATGCACAGATACTGTTCTTTTAAAAACACTCAAATTATTTCTTTTTACTGTAGTAATTATTAGCTTTGCTTTCTTCTCAGTTTATATATATATATATATATATATATATATACCATTTTCAATGATAAACTTATATTCACAGCTAAATCAGACATAAGTTAGTCAATATTTTGTTACTTTTAACATACTTAAACATAAGCATTAACTTCTTATATATTTTCTTTTAAATATATGTATTGCATGTTTTATTGATACCAAATACGCTACAACTTAGACAGCAGAATTACGAGGTTTTTTTCGTATTCTTATTCAAGATATTTGACTATTCAACTTTGATATCTCTTGAAAAATCAAGCTTAGGAAATATATTCATTATCCTTATAAATATTTATTTCTGCATGTTTTCCCATAGCTTGTTAATTATGATTTGTTATATATGAATGAATGATAGCTGTAATAGTAAAAATTAAAGTGTTATTTTAATTTCAGGATTTTAATGATACTAGTACACAAGAAAGAAGTGCAGAAGTTACCAGTCATTCTGAGGAGATGTTTGACATGAACGATTTTGAAGACACTGAAGAGACACAGAGAGAGAACTATGTCATACACAAACACTACCACAGCTAAAAAGACACACATCAAACACTACAACTTCAAACAAAAAACAGAAACACGATCACATTTACACAGCAGCCACAACAACACTGGAAGAAAATTTCTACAATATTAAAATCAAAAAACACTACTCCAAATACATTTACACAGTTCGGTTCCTTTGTTGGTTCCGAACTAAGTCTAATCCGTGACCCTCAACTCCTCACAGACACAAAATATAAAATATACCAAATTCTCACAGATGCACAGACAGAACAAAATGTATTAGATTCCATGAACAACACAGAATAAATAAGAAACTTAGATATATTTATTACTTACCACATTATTTTGTAACATAAAATAAAAATAACTTATAAATAATCTTTATTTCTTTATCTTTTTATTATAACATATATTGAGAAATCAGGGAACATAAATTGAATAACATATATTGAGAAATTAATAATATTTTATATAAATTTATCTTGCCATGCAACTTTTTCCTTCATTATTTACATAATCACAAATTTTTTCTCGCATTAGCCTTGCTTCAGCAGACCCTGTGTTATAACCATTTTGTTTACACAGGGATTTCATCTTACTTAGCGATTCCTCATTTCGCCATGATCCAGGTATAAAATTAAAGTCCTCATCTTCATGATCGATTAGTTCTCTTGGTGTATACTTGGTGGACAATTGCCTGGACGGTCTTTCTCGTAGAAAGTTATGCAAACAGCAACATACAGAAACAATTTTTATCAACTGTCGCAGGAGGCAGCTGTATTGGTTGCATCAAGATACGAAATCTATTTGATAATATCCCGAATGCATTTTCAAACAACACGCCTTGCCCTGGACAGTCGATAATTGAAAATCCTTTGCTGAGGAGAGATTTTTACCAGGATATGGCCTCATCAGATAACATTTCAAAGGAAACGCCTCATCTGCAACCATAAAATAATTCACAGGCTCACTACCTGGAATCAAAGGTGTTGGGCTGGGCAGATCAAGCAAGTTATTGTCTAGCATCGAAAATAAACTTGTTTGGGCAAAAAACTCCTCCGTCTGATATTCGTCCATTACATCCAACATCAATAAATGTAAATTTATAATCTGCATCAACTGATGCCATCAGCACAATGCTGTTGAAACTTTTATAATTGTAAAAAGTGCTGCCACCCCCTGCTGGTGCTTTTATCATAACGTGTTTTCCATCGATGGCACCAACACAGTGTGGCAGGTTCCACTTTTCAGCAAAAGCTTCTTCTATGGCTTTCCACTCCTGAGCAGTGTTTGGTGTCTACGAAATGAGAAAATAAGTATTAATTATGAAACTGAAAAAAGGATGCGAATACAAAATATAAATGCAGAAAATGCTATTTAAATATTGGCAAATAGTAAAATCAAATATTTTATCAACGAATATTAGCTACTCATTTGTTATAATAAAATTCACATCAAAGAAATAGATAAAAAAATGTGCTTATATATTTGGTTGTGTTCCTATGTTTCACTTTTTATCTAATTTTTTTCCCCATTTTTTTCTCTCTTGTTTTTGATTAAGCTACACCATAGATTCTATTTAAAGTTTTTAAAATAATGAATGTGTCAGATACAATAAATGGAATTAAAGCTAAGTGACTGTGGGTAAATGAATGTTTTTGATCACAATACCCATACAGACAGAAAAACTGATAATTTTTGGAAAATAAATGATTAAAAAATAAGCTGTTGTTGTACAAACAATAATACAATAAACAAAAAAGGCTTATGCTTGTTTGTACACAGAAACAGAATTTTCATTTAAACAAGATGTTTAAACATTTTATAACTGAATATATATGCTTCTTAATTTTGAAGAAAACTCAAAACTAAAAGTGTCTATTGAAGAATTTTGGATGAACCCATAGGTGGTCAATTTAGCAGATTCATTATGTGTTTTATACAGGGTTGATACTAGGTTGTCAATTTGCTGTCCAATGCAATCTCTGCAGTTCCTACATTCTATTGCTAGATGCCTCCCTAATTATAAAACAATGTTTATTATGATTTTTCCAAAATCAAATAATCATATCTCTTCTTATAAATGAAAATTTTATTTAAATATACTGAAAAGCATAAACAACATTATGACAGACATTCGCATTGAAAATGGTTCATTCTAGAATTTGAGTCAAATTATTATCTAGAGCATGGACCAACAAACTGGTGCCTGCAAAAGAATTGTAAAATTTTAAGAAGCTGACGAGATATTTTAATGTTGAGTGGGAAAAACAATTTCATTTATAACTTAAAATTATTTTCTTAAACTGTTGGTCGCGACCCCCATAGGAGGTCACCAAAACATTTTAGCAGTTTTTGATAATCCTTTAACTTATTCCAATAATTTTACAATTACCAAATATTTTTACACAATGTATCTGAAAATAGATAAAGATAAGGCAATGTATAAAGTTCTCTTTCTAACTGAACAAAAATCTGATTTTGCGAATTTAATTCATAATAAGTTATGGCTACAAAAGCTGCATTATTTGAGTGACATATTTTGAAAAACTAAATGATCTAAATTTGTCGTTTCAAGAAAAAGGTTGCAACATAGTCATATTCAAATTAAAAAATTGATGCTTTATTAAGAAAATGACCATATGGAAAACTATGATGGAAAAGGGTTTGTTAGAAAATATTTGTCGCAACAACTGAATTTTTAAATGAAAATGATGAAATAGATAAATCAAAAAGATGATGTCTTGAGAAAAACTTTAAGAAATATTTCCCTTCAAATTTTAGTGTCAAAGAACTAATATGGATTGTGAAACTATTTAGAATTAATGTGGAAAATATTACTCATTTGCCATTAAAATCACAAGAAGAACTTGCTGATTTATCAAATAATTCGGGATTGAAACTTTATCTTTAATACGAAGTCTTCAGAAGATTTTTTGCTAGCAATTGCAAAAGATTTCCAACAATTTCTGAAACTGCCATAAACTTTTACCTTTTTCTGCAACATATTAGTGAGAGACATTTTCATCTCTAACCACCATAAAATCAAAAGTGTCAATCAAAAAAGTTTAAAAAGCCCTGATTTATTACATGGTAAAAAGTGCATGCTTATGCAACTGAAGTATAATGGTTAGTGTAAATATAACTTGGAGAGACATTTCATCAGTACGGGTGTTTGCATAACATTTTCAAGAGAATGTTACATGAGTAATGAAATTCCAATTGCTATACTAAATCTCTCTCTCTGCTAGCACTTAAAAGAAAAAAACTCAAAGTTATCCGTTATCCAGATACCCCAATGCAACTATTATTTTATGACTTTAATTGTAAATAGGTTACTTAAATTTAAATATCGCAAAGCCTCGAGGACTATCTGTGTAAGAGGAGGGATACCTTCGTAGAGGCCTTTCTAAGGGAAACTAGCTCATATTTATGTTACACATGGGGTAACCACAAAAACCAACCATGCAGCCAACCTGTTCGCCTGGGACGGAACCCAAGCCAGGTCGAACTACCAGTATTCAGTTGTCTTAACCACTCAACCACTGGTGGGGGCTCTTAATTCTAAATAGAAAATTATACATTGCACTCCTGTAATACTCTTTTTAAATGAATCACATTTCAAGGAAAACAAGCTCTGAAGTTAATTCAATATTACAAATTTGAGAAAAATTCAACTTAACATTAGTATCCTGATCTTGTAAAAATGAACATTTTTTTTTTAAAAATTAAAAGGTCATGATGTTGTTGTGAATTATAAGACCTCATATGTAACATTGATATATTGAGGTTTTAACTCACCTTTATGTAATCTTGCATGCATTCCCATAAAGCATCCAATACTTCTGGTATCACTCTTGACAATGTTTGTTTAGGTATTCTAAACAAATACTGTAAATTTGAATAGGAACACCCTGTAACATAATAAAAAACTTAAAAAATAAATTTATTAAAATGATTGTAGTGATATAATTATGATATTTATTCATTATAAATTTCTCAAAATTTAAAAAAATTGTGGTTAAAATTATTGTTTGAATTTGTATTTCAATTTTTGTGAATTTGATTTATTAATTTTATAAAAATTAATTGATTTTTTTTTCAATAAAATAAAAATTAACTTACCACCAGCTAGAAAGCGTAAAGTAACATGCAGCCTCTCAGATGGTGAAATTGCACAACGCATAATCGTATCCTGTTTTTTAATTTTGCTGCTCACTAAGTTTAATAAATAATCAAAATCGCACGGCATCATTCGCAAATACTTTCCAAATTCCACCCTGTCTTCAAAACGCAGCTCTTGGAACAGGGTATTATGGGCTCCATGAATTTCTCTGCGTTTCACCCAATTTCTCGTCCAAATACGCTTTCTTTCTTTTTTCTTCTTCTGCAGCAGCAGCAGCGAGGATCAAAATCGCAGATGTTGCTACAGTAGCAATTAACGGGAAATCTTCATCCATTTTTATTATTGTCGCCTAAATTCACTCCCGCACAGTTTTGTTTCACAGTTGTTGATAGTGTGACGCTACATAGGGCGGGAATTCTTCCTCGGACAGTGATTGGTTAAGGCATTTCCTGTACCGACGACAAAATCGTTGCGTGTGGACAAGCAAGCTCTCGCAGATAAAATCGTACGAGAAAGTCGGCCGATAAAATCGGTACGTGTAGACGGGCCTTAAAACTAAGATTTCTAAATGAAACAAGTACTGCAGAAACAAATGGACCCAAAGTAGGCTTTAGCAAAATAAAATAAATTTAAATTTCAGCCAAATTAGATTCCAAACAGTAGGGACAAGTTTGTACAGCTTTATAGAATAAATGTTCTTAATTCGAATTTCTTCTACTTCAACATTTGAACATCACTACATATTTTCCAGTTTTTGTGAAATGTGGGTTTTCAGTCTGTTGAAGCTAAAATGAGTAACGGTATAAACAGCTGAATCTTGAATGGCAAATTCTGTAAGGACGTTTGAAAGATTTTCGGTGAAACAAT